CACATCCCTCGACTCCTCCACAGGCATGCTTGCCAAGTCCTCCCCTGACAGCATCGTGATGCGAAGCATTGCGGCGGAAGACTGAAGCAGCTTCTGCGGCCGAAGGACAGGCAAGTAGGCAAGCAACTACACCCGACCAGCACATTCAGTTTTTCACTGAGATCAGAAACTCCAATCCGAACGACGAGACTGCGTGCGATTGAATGCATCGCTCCGTTTACACCTTTGCAACTGCATCTTGAGGGACGATCGTGTCTTTCCCTTGAAAGGCCAGCGACAAGTTCTGTTGCGATCTTTGCAAACCTTTCAGTCACGCGTGGCGGAGTTCTGATCGAAGTGCAGGACTGAGGGTTTAACAAGATGTTGGGGATAGAACGACAGGACGCGGGTTTTTGTGGTTCTGTGCAGCTCCCTGGGTTCTGCACAAGCAGCCCTAGGAGAATACGAAAAGCAACGCTCGCAATGTCTTGGGTTCAGGGCTGCGGGATCGGGGGTCACAGATAGTAGCTCTCTTTGTCTCTCTCTCTGTAAGACTAGGTTGGCGAGTCTCCCCGTCATAAAACGGTGCCCCTTTCCTGCTATTCAATCTTGTTAGCAGGAACCCAACCCCGCCTTGCCTAAAAAAAAAAAAGCATTGCCTTAAACAATCGAACGCGAGGGAAACGGTGTACTCCTGCGAGACCTGGAAAGCCCAAACCCTTGTAGAATCCTTTAAAGAACCCCAAACGCTTAAAAAACCTTTCACGAACCCACCTTGAAACCCTGTCGCGGAGGTTCATGGGTAGAAATTAAGTCGGGTAATAAGGAGGTTAGCTAGAATTATGACCCCTATTAGGCGACCTATAAACCCACTTATAGCTATCCATGAAGCTCCAAGTACTAGGATTCCGGACCTGGGCCATTTCGGATACGAAGATCCATCGAGGGCCACTCAGCGGATGAATCACATCCGGGACCTTTGCAATTGCAAGTCTACGCGAAGGAGCCACGCAGGGGTTGTGCGGTTGTAATAGGGTTTGAAAGGTGGGGTAGTTAGGAATACAGCCTGAATGAATAGAATAGGGGTTCCGGACATCAGGCGATGTACTTATATGGGGCCTATAGCGGGATACTGTGACTGATTATTCGAGGCCCGATATGAGTACTGCCCACAAACAATATCAGTACGCGTAACTGGACAATCCTCACCCTGAACCCTGCCACTGTTAGTACGCTGACTTTGGCGTCGGCCTGCGCTGGAATCCATCTTTTCCTGACCACTCGCATTATCAACGAAACAACCCCATACCCTGAACCCTAAACCCTTTTTGCATCCAGGACTCTTGCAAGCAGCCGGGAAACTCCAAACCCTAAACCCTAAACCCTAATACCTAACCCTAAACCCTAAAACCCTGAACCCTCAACCCTAATACCCTGAACCCTAAACCCTGAACCCTGAACCTTAAACCCTGAACCCTAAACCTGGAACCCCCATACCCTGAACCCTAAACCCTGAACCCTCATAGTATGCTCAGCCCACCACGCGGCCCTGCAGCTCGGCTTTGGGTTGCGGGGCTTTCTCCTCGACTTTTGCCACCTCCTCGGCCTCAAGGGACTTTCAGGTGGAGTGACGTTGGTTCAGGGAAAAGGGTTTTTTCCCTTCCAGCACTCGCCAGGTAAGTTATATATATATATATATACATGTATGGCTTAGGGTTTAGGGTTTGGGGTTTAGGGTTTAGGGATGCGCAACAAAAACTCACACACACACACACGCCCGCGCGCTCAGGCACTCACAACATGCAACAATCCGATATCCTAAACTTTCAAACGCAGTGCCAACAAATATTAGACCCCAAATCCTTTTTGAAGAGGGGCTGCAGTGCACATGCCCCAAATCCTTAGCCCTTAAACCTTTCACCCCCAGAGCTTGAGGGGTGAGGGAGCTTGTTGTGGCTTAGGGGTTTAGGGTTTAGGGGTTTAGGGGTTTGGGGGTTTAGGGCTTAGGGTTTTAGGGCACGGTTTAGAGCGAAGGATTTAGGACTCAGGTGTACCTAGTAGACGCCGGGGATGCTGTAACTACACTCGGAGAAGACGAAGAGCTATCCTCCAAGTGCGCCCTCAACTCTAAAACCCGAAGCCCCTGAATCCCAATGGATAGTTGTCTAAATTAGGGTCCCTTTGGGGGTCCGTTAAAAAAAGGGGGCCGTACTATTGTGGGGACCGAAAACAGGGCCCTCATTTCGAGAACTATCTAAATCCTAAACCCCCTAGAAGCACCAATGCAACTGCAGCCACCTTGGAGGCGCCCCAGTACGCCGCAATTCAGCAAGGTAGGGCAAATGTAGGGTTTTTTTGACACTCGCACTCGGACAAAGCTTGGCAAGGTCTGTAGCGATACTACATGTAGGGTTTGGGGTTTAAGGGTTTAGGGGTTTAGGGTTTAGCCGTTCTGGGATTTCGACTCTCACTCTCGCTGTTCTGTGTTTAGGGTCTTGGGGTTTAGGGGTTTGGGGTTGCTGGGTTTAGGGTTTGCATGTACCTGGAATGATACCAGCCATCCTTCTTGTTTTGAGGCAAAGAAACCAGGTTGCATGGTGCCTGAATGGCCCAGTACTTCCGTACTCAACGGCTTCCAGACCCTCATAGATCTCAGAATACACAGGCAACCAACAAATCCAAGCAACACTTTGATTTGAAGGTCCAATTTGTAACTGTTGTTTTGACGTCTTCGGCTTCCTCTTCCTGACCTAAGCCCGAAGCCGTTCCGGCTTTCACTCCGGCTTTGGGTTTAAGGGCTTGAGCCGCCTTGAGATGAATGAGAGGGCTCCGCCAAGAGAGCGCCAGCTGTCGCGAAGCGCTGGCCGGCGCCTGCGTTTGTCAGGTTTTGAGGCTGTTCAGCACGGGCTGAGGCCCTAAACCCTAAACCCTAAACCCTTTTGCAACAGGCTTTCCACTTCGCCCGGAGTTGGAGCAAGCAGCCCTAGCAGCTTTACTAGGGACCCTAAACCCTAAACCCCAAACCCTATTCCCTAAACCCTTAAACCCTCAACTTTTTGGGTTCAGGGAGGGTTTCGGTGGTTGGGGCTTAAGGCCTCGAGGCTCCGGGGTTGTGTCTTTGGGGGACTTCAGAGTTTTAAGGCTTTAAAGCATCTGGAGTGTTACCCTAAACCCTAAGCCCTAAGCCCTAAACCACTAAACCCTAAATTTAGGGCATCTGGAGTGCTACTGAACCCTGAACCCGTGAGTTGGAGAGGCATGGGCTTCAGGATTTAGGGTCTGGTGGGGTTTCTGGCTTAGAGTTTGGGGGTTTGGGGGTTTCGGGTCGTTTGGGGTTTCTGTTTTCAGGGAGGCTCGGGTTCGGGTTTAGAGGCCGGGTGCCTTTTGGGAGAATGTTCGGGTCAGGGTCTTGGGATTCGTTCAGGAGATAAGTTTGTAGGCTTTTGCTAATGGTCATTGCGAGAGGTGGGTAAGGTCGTGGGTGATCACTAGAGGCTGCGGCAATGTGCAACAAGGTAACCGCAGCAAAACATGACACTACTTCGAAAAAGGTGCAGCTGCTAATGTCGGGGCTTGAATAATTAGAATAGGGTTTGGGGGGCATTCTACTATAATTATAATGAGGAACCCTGAGGAATAATATAGGTAATGATTTAGGCTTCTATATATTCCACAATTTATCACGGCACGTCTCTCTTCAGTTGAGTGTCGCGGTTTCGGGCTCCAAAGGCAAGCCCGGGTCGGCACATGGGCTAATGATCGGCTAATGCAAGGGTGGTTAATAAGTGGAATAGGGTTTTGGGGCCCTTTCTAGTCTGGTATAGTAAGAAATACGGAACCACAAGGAATGATGTTGGTAATACCTGCTTCAGTTACTGTATGCTCTCAGTAGTAAGGTTCTGGAACAAGGCCCGGCTGCAATGATCTAAGCTTTGTCCTGAAGCCAAAGAGATCTCTAAGCCTTGTGCCCCGGATACAGGGATTTACTCCCCAAGCCCCACACTGCCAGCAGCCTCAAGAATATGAATCTGAATCTCCTGCCGCCATCATCTGAACTCTGAGTTGCAAACCACAGAAGTCAACCGCTCATCCTAACCATCTAAACATCTAAACCCAGAAGTAGAAACAGAGGCGAACCGCAAGCCTGAATGCTAAACCCTGCAACCCTGGTCAACCCTCAACCCTACAGCCGCCGTAGTCATCGGATAAAAATGTGCCTCGAAAAGGCTCAACGGCCGGCTGGCTCCCGACCATGTGGCGGGGAAGACATCTGAGCGTTCCTCCAGGGAGGGGAGGCTCGTTTCGTTCGCCAAAAGAAACAATACTGAAAATCGTCAAAGTAATGTCATATCAATAACAGTAGTAGTAGTAGTAGTAGTAGTAGTAGTAGTAGTAGTAGTAGTAGTAAAGTTCTATAGAATAATCATAACCATGGCAATCATGATAAGGATAAGATCGATTACCACTACTACCAAAACAGTGAGACCTAGTGCCTTTCATAGCATTTCATCCTTTTAGCTGGGCTCCTTATGGGGCGGGAGATTGGGGGTTCCTTACGGTTTCGGCGCTCGGTCTCGGACATGACGCGCGAGGTTCTTGGTTCTTAGTCGACCGCATTGGGAAAGTGTGTCCGAGTTTGGATGACAAGGTTCCATGTTGCTAACGAAAGATCAGCCACACCCAACCAGCATGTCTTCAGAGGGCCGTCGCTTGCATGGCTCAGGTGAGCTGTACATTGAATCACGAACAAACACCCAGGCGCGGACATAGCACGCCAGGCCACAGTCTGCCCTCATGATGAACTTACGTCAGGCGGGGCTTTACAGCAAAATCTAGAGAAGTCTCGCAGAAGCAGCGCCTCAGCGGCAATCGGGGCTCCGATCTCGACCAAATTTCTTCACATTGCCGAGGCATCAAAGCGGGACTGTCGCAATCTGTACATATGCAATCTAGCAAAGTTGGCTGCTGCTGAGCGCAATACTCCGCCAAAACACTGGCTGAAGCAAACGCTTCTGCAAGAGCTACCAGTACACCATCTGCACCTCTTCCTCCTTCAGCTCCAACAGTTGGCTGCGATGCTCAAGTGGAACCGTACCCAAACAGTACCAAAAGGTGGCCGCGATCTTCGTGAACCAAGCCTGAGCGAACGTAAGGAAGATCGCTGAAAGCCAGAATGTCAGAACTGCAAAGGCTATCTGGCTTGCACAAAGCAGAAAGCTAATGCCGACATAAATAGCCACAAATCCGCGCTTGAGGTATTTGGCACCGATAAGGCCGAAGATGGGGCCAAGCATGAAGACGACGCCCAAGACGATCAAAGGCCAAGCGCCGCCTCTGGAATCCAAGGGAAATTCGGTCAAGTTGAGGATTGCAATGGCTACGTTCAGCACGATGGTCAGGAGGTTGATGAAGGCAAAGCACATGACAGCCGCTCGGTAGTTTAAGACGACGAGCCACTCTGGGGGTAGTGAGAAGACCCGGGTTGGGGCTGCGAGCTCAGGCGCTCCCACAATTCCGGGACTTGGGCCGACGGGGACACCCTGCGCAACTTCCCTCTCCCCTCTCTCAGCTTGGTTGAGGTCGCCTGTTGGCTTCTTCAGGTCATTTCCGCCCATGGCTGTCATCTTGAGCAAGGAAGTGCCTGCAACTTCTGTGGCTTGGTCGGGCCGGGGCTTTGAAATGCCTGACTGCCCCGAACCACTTGAGCCAAAATCCTTGCGGTTCAGGGTTTCGGGCGTTCTTCATGGTCCTGATTTCTGATTTCTACAGTGTTCTTCACACTCGGGGTGGCGGATTTCCGTAGCGCGAAACAGTTCACCTTCTAAGTGCGACGTGCGTTAGAGCTCACCTATTATTCCGCCGCTCTGTCTGCACTTAGAGATTGAAGCCTTTTGGGACGGGATGGATTTATTGGGGTACGGTATTCGTTGTCTTCAAACAGGGATCAGGTCGCTTTCAGGGTTTAGGTTTAGGGTTTAGGGGTTTAGGGGTTTAGGGTTTAGGGTCTATAGGGTTTAGGGTTTAGGGTATCAGGGTTTTTTAAGGGTCCTGCAAGGTTTTGTATTGCTTTATGCAAATCTTCAGGATTTGTTTGGGGGTTTGGGGCTCATTGGCATCGTCGTCTAGCCGCCAAGCATGACTTCCAAACCCGAAAAGCCTTGAACCCGAGACTTCTAAACCCTAAGCCCGAAAAACCCTGAACCCGAAACTCCTAAACCCAAAGCCCCTAAACCCTATAAACCCTAAACCCGAAACTCCTAAACCCAAAGCCCCTAACCCTATAAGCCCTAAACCCGAAACTCCTAAACCTTAAGCCCCTAAACCCTATAAGCCCTAAACCCGAAACTCCTAAACCTTAAGCCCCTAAACCCTATAAGCCCTAAACACCTAAACCCTACAAGCCCTAAACACCCCCTAAACCCTAAACCCTGAACCCTATAAGCCCTAAACACCCCCCAAGAAGCAGCGCTTCGAGCCTCAAAGGCCGACAAGTCCAGGCCGGCCTGGCCTGCTCTCCGTGACACATCGACAGTCGATGATGGGAAGTATACGGGGGGTTGGGTTTAGGGTTTAGGGCGTAGGGGGTTTAGGGGTTGGGTTTAGGGTTTAGGGTTTATAGTAGGGAGTTTAGGGGTTGGGTTTAAGGTTTAGGGTTTATAGTAGGGGGTTTAAAGTGCTTAGGGTTTGGGGTTTAGGGCTTAGGATTCAGGGAGTTTATAGGAAGGTCAGAGTTTCGGGTTTAGGGTGCAGAGGGCTTAGGGAGTTTAAGGAGGTTAGGGTTTCGGGTTTCGAGTTTAGGGAGTTTAAGGAGGTTAGGGTTTCGGGTTTAGGGTTTAGGGTGTTTAAGTTGGTCGGGGTTTCGGGTTTCGGTGCTCACAGAGTTGATTTCACTTCCGCAGACCTCGAACCTGGAGTCCGGGTTAGAGGGCTTCGGGTTTAGGGTTTGGCTAGGCTTTAGGGTTTGGGAAGATCAGATTAGTATATGCTCTAAACAACTCCTTAAAGAAGGATGTTCATAAGGCTCCTAAAGTCTTGCTTATGGGCTTCGTGTAGACTTTTACACGCGTGTAAAGACCTCTTTGGCTTTGGGTTGCCATGTCATGTAGAGGCCTCAATAATTCGAACAAGGCTTTTGGGACCCATGGAATATACCAGTCTTATAGTAAGGAACCCCCAAAATAGTATAGGCAACGATTCAAAGTCCCCATATTAGGGTGGTATCAGGCTTTGACCCGCGTTTCAGGTTAAGAGTGCTTGCAGGATCGCAACCCGGATCCTGCGGCTGAAAATATGCAATCTGCCACCAACGCGCCTTCACCCGAAACTTATGTCCGTGTCAGAAGAGCTCCTAGCCCTGACAGCCCAAGGTTTCGGCTTTGGTGCTTCCAGGATTGCGTAAGCCGTGCCCTGATTGTGCATCCAACTCTCTGACGCATGTGGGAATAACATACTTAAGCTTTGGCCCTGCAGCCCAGAACCGGGGTTTAGGGTTCTTTCCCCTGCTTCCTAGAAAGGATAGTTTTTAGGGTTTAGGGTTTGAGGGTTTGGGGGTAAACTTGCGCCGCGCAGCGGAAAAGGATGTAGCCCCCTTCGTAGGTGAGCAGCATACTCTCCAAATTGGCCACCTCGCCGGAGGCTGAGACAAGAGCTTGCTGGGTGCACTGCATCGCTCAGGGTTCAGCCAGGTGGAAAGATAAACCCCAAAGCTTAGGGGTAGATTGTGCGTTGTACCCTAAACCCTATAATAAACCGTAAAGCCCAAAGCTCAGGGGTAGATTTTGTGGTGATACCCTAAACCCTAACCCTAAGCCTTGGGGTAGATTGTGTAGTGATACCCTAAACCCACCCTTTTTACACAGGCTTGATTGGAGCTCGCCCGGCCAATACCCTAAATCCTAAGCTCCAACCTTTGAGCCCTGTAACCGCATTCAGAGCTTTGTGCTTGGAAGGTTTGGGGGCTTTCTTCGGAGACTGACGGCCTTCTGGTGGACAATTGGATTTAAAACAGGGGCCGTAATAATTAGAACAGGGTTTGGGGG